TCCTGAACAAAACCTTTTCAGCTTATCTTATTGTAAGTTTATTCAAGGCATATTCAAGGATGGAGAATAAAAAGATACAGAAGGAGAAGTGGTCCAGTACAAGCTCACCGTGACACAGTGATAATTACTCAGCAGTGAGTAATTGCCCCAGCATCTCCACTGCTCTGTCAACCAAGCTCTCTAGACTGAATCCATCCCAGCTCATCCTGGGGCTGGTCCCCCTTTTATAACTGATGAGATGAGAGTATGAATTAAAAAGCTTTAACAGCTCAAGCAAGCTCACTGTCCAGTGCCAGCTATGCCAGTTAAAAGTTAATTTTTTATTCAGCTTCCTGGTCTGAGCGTGGGCAATTACAGAAATTAACCTGTGCCTTAGTTCTCCAGGTAGGAAACAAGGATAATAAAACTTTACTTTCCCCACACTCAGACAGCAGAAGAACAAATACCACATAAGTACCCCAATTTTTCCACATGACCGTCTTCTGTGCTTCTTGGCCTTGCTATCTGTGGCTCAGGTAGTTGTTTGTCTTCAGATAAGTCCTTCCTTCAAGAATTTCTCCTGTTCCCAACAGAAATTCTGATAGCACGTTCTCTCCTTCCTGTCTTTCCCAGTGTTAATGCTATTGTATTTGTTTAATGGGGTTAATATGCTGCTGGTATAATAATGATCATGTACGGACGTAATTATTATGTGCAATTAATTCTGCAGCTGCTGAAAAGCTTGTAGGATCTTTCTTAGACAAGGGAATATCTTTACAATAGTCCTTCTCAAATTGCATTACACACAGACATAACGAAATGCAAAAGGGGAAAGAACGAAGACTGTGGATCAGAGGACAGAGTTGCACCCAGCAGAGCAGCAGATGAAGGTTAAACACCATTAAGGCAGAGACCATCTCTGTTGTGCGTTTATGCACTGACTAGCACAAATGATTCCCGGTCCCTAACTGCAGTCCCAAGGTACTACGTACTACTATCATGCAAATAGTATGTAACTTGTTATAAATTTTTGAAGATATATCTGCCAGTGTTGTTGCTTCTCTTGTTACCTTCTTTAAAGTAAACATCTTTTAAATGAACACGTTGGCTTTTGTTCTTCTAAGAAGATACAATATCACAGACCAGAATATGAACCCTTATGAAACCGAAAAGAGGTTCATGATTTTTACAAGGACTCAAGAGAATTAAGTGCACAGCATGCAAGTCATTAGCACTAAAATAACTAGTGTCCTCATTTAGCAAAACTGTAGACGCTTTTCTGCATGAAGCTTTTTGGCATATTCTGATAATTTACAGTCCGATGCGGCAGCCATACTTCTGAGTGCTCTTAGGTGCTTTGAGTGATAACAGATCTGTTCGTGTCATCAGGGATTGCAGATTCCTGCAACTCAGCCTGTAACTCAGCATGTTCCCCGGACAACTCCTGGACACCTGTCTTTGACCAAACTATCCTGAAATCCCACATACATGACCTGAAGAGAAGACATTGCCTGAAAGATTCAACTCTCTGCAAACTGCCCAGTTGTTTCCTAACCCTACCATTATGCATGTAAGCACTGATGACTTTGATATTTAATTGACTCAGCTCAACTCTCTGCATCCCATTTAAAAGCTAAAGTGAAGCATAAGATGTGTCCATGAAAAACTGAGACACATGCACAATCCCCCCACCTCCAATCTTTCTTTTCTTCTCCAGAAAAGCATCTCTTTCAGCTGCTGCAGTCTCTACCACATTTAATCACCAGTGTCCAAGCCCAGCTCCTGCTTCAGCACACAATGAAATCCCTGTGCAAGGACGCAGGAGCTGAGGAGGGAGCCCGCACGCTGCAGGAGATGTTGAGCTCTGCTGTGCAGAACCACATGCAACAGGGAATGGGGCATGGTAGGAATGGTGCCATGGGGCTGAGATAGGACCACAGAAAGGTACCCTGCGGGCTGTGTGCATGTAAGCTGGGGAAGGGGGCAGATTTTGCCCACTGCTCTCCCCCAAGCTTCTGCCCGGTGCCACATCACCATAAATACTCTCCAGTCAATGTGCCTGGAGCCGAACGGACCTCAGACAAGGCAGAGGGTGTAAAGTAAAAATCTTCGTCTTCTGCCACCTGACTCCTCTCAGTCTTTTCACAAACGACTGCCCCGAGTAGCATTCTAGGCTTGGCATTTAAGTGTCCCAAAGCACTATTATGCCTGAAATCCCCATGATGCTTTCAAAGAAATAAATCATTCCCCTCAGAGCCTCAAACAACAGAACTGGAGGTAGGAAGTATCAGAGAAAACACAAGGGCTATTTTCTCACCCTCCAGAACGGGAGACAGCAGTTTTAGTTTTCACCTAGTGACAGACTCTTATTGAACATCTCATTCAGCTACCAGCATGTTTCAGACAGTAACAGTTGGCCCTCACAGCACCCCTCTGCAGCGCCTGCAGGAGTTACCAGCAAAATTGTCTCCCAGCATCTGAGACAAGTGCTGGGGTTTCTTTGATTTTTTTTTTCCTCCTTCTTTTTAACTTCTTTCAGTTTCTGCTTCACTGCGTTTTCTTCTGCTCACTACACTACCGGGAATTTTACAGGTACCTAAGGACAATGTAGAAAGAAAAGAACAAGGTGACTGAGAAAGAGAAGCAGGTTGTGACAGACTGAGAACTTCCCTGTAATAATTTATGAATTCCTGTGCTTCACCTCAGAACTGGTCTAACACAGATACATCATTGGTTTGGTAGCACAGAAGTTGGTCTGGATACCGCAAGGATATGAAGGAACAACTCAAGATAGCCTTAGCAGTGGAGAACTGTTAGAAAGCAATGTCAGGACTATTAGCTGGAAAGGCTGATACAGACTTTGTCCAGTCTATCGAACAGATTTAACTAAGTTTACCTGAAACCCCACAAAAACAGACAACAGAAGATTCAGGCAGGATTTAAAATGAAAACTCTCTCCAATGCCTCCTTTGCTCATATATTGTCTCTGCTCTCTTCTCATCAATAAAGAGGCAAAATGCTCAGCAGGTTGAAAGATGTTCTCAGCCTGCTGCTGCATCTCTCCTGTGCACCCATCAGCTATAAAAGTTGAATGAGATGTGTAATCAAGGCAACTAAACCTTCCCATGTTGAAAGCTAACCTGAGTGCGTGTGGTTAATTTGCCAAACCCTATCCCCACCACAGGCCCAGGACGGACAAAATTCTCCATGACTCACCAACAAAGACTTACAGGGCTGTTCATCTTAATGCAACACACAGAGCTACACAACAGGCACCCAGAAAGTCTTAAGAGCCATTTATCAGCAGGACACTAATAAATGCCAGTAATTTGATCATGACATTGAAGGCACTGTTTGCATCCAGGATGAGGCTAAGGAGGAGGCCGACTCTTTGAGTTCTCTGCAGTGAAGACATTTTGTTTATGGGGTAAGAGTGGCAACACTACTGATGCTGGACCCAGTTACCAGAAGAGTTGTGCAGGGTCTTATTTAAGAATGAAAAAGCTGCATAATATTGACCTTCAGACAGAAGAAAGACAAAACTCCAAGACCACAGACAGGTATGTGAAAACACACCAGAAAAACTTCAGCAAATTAACTAGGATGTATATTCTGTCTATTTTCATTTAGTTTCTGAGAGTAAAACCTTAGAATGTATCACTCTGCAGTGTATATAAACATGCTTAAGCTTGCTTGTTAGAGCATGTGGTAAGACCCTCGACTTGGCCTACCTTTGCTTTAAATTGACCAAAAAGGTCTCGGCTTGAAACCTTTTAAAAGAATACATAAATGCAAGTAAGAACAAGTCTTTAAGTAACCCATACAGATACCTAAGTTGCTACGGCTAATACCAGACTGGCTAGGGCTACACAGACTTTGGCCATGTCTTTGACTGTTTACATAGACTCATCCTTAATTCTTGAGGGACTGGCTGACCACACAGATTATTTCTGCAATATATTCAAGTAATGCAATGTAAATTTAAGTTTTCATGTCTATATACTGAAATATTACATGACTGTTTTGCTATATCTAGGCCAAAGAGCACAGCATCTTGCAAAAGCCATCGTACCACTTTGCAAGCTGTAGATACTAGGCCAAATCTAGTGAACGTAAGGAGCTGTCAAAGGCTGTTACCTCTGACAGACAGGCAACTACATCACAAAAAATAAACACACCAACAAGCAAAAAATGTTATTTCACGTTGTCATGTGTTGCTAACTTCAGCCAGCAGGCAAAAGGACAAGATAACGTGAACACAGAGCTGCTATTACACCCCGAAGGAGGCACCCTAGCAACAAAGCACTTTGGCTGCATGACTCCATCTATACCATGGTCATTAGCACCATCCATGCACCGTCCTTCCCATGGACTAACTACAACTCAAGCATTAAACAAACTTACTGCAAGGCAATTCCTTTTTTTTTTTCATTCAACTTTTGGAGTAACTTTTGGAGTAACTACTGGGACCCAGGAGAACTACTTTCACATTTTCTTTCTCCAAAAGTCTTGCCTGTGTGGCTGTGGGGAACTCACAGCTGCAAGGTCCCCAAAAGGCCCAAAGTACTAGATCAATGCTCAGCAGGAGCCAAGTAGAGCCCGGAGAAACTCCTAGGGCACTAGGCAGGGCCTCTGCAGGTCACATGGCAACACAGAAGCATTTGAAAAGTGCTTCTTTCTTTCTTCTTATGAATCTGATGTGAATGTCTCCTGTGATTTGGGTCTGCATCTATAAAAGGGAAGTATATTAGCACTTTTCCCCTTCATCAGATGTTTTAAAGGTAAATGCAATAAAGAAGGCATTCAGAAATTACTGTCCTGTTGGCTATTCTTGCATGATTTCCTCCATTTACACAGTAAGATTTACCAATGCACGAGTTAGAAACAATGTTTTCAACTGTCAATCACATACTCTGCAAGGAAACCCAACTCATAAATGTCATAACTGAACGTCTTGAAAAAGCAAGTGAAAAACAAATTTTGACTCAATGGTGTTATTTAATAGGAGTGAAAGTACTTACCAGGTGGCCTATTAATTGCAAGGTTTCGGAAATGGCTGCCTTTGATCATCTCCACTGACAGCCGCCCTGTAGTGGCATTGTACGACAATCCCACAAGCAGCTCTGGCATCCCTCCATGCGACAAGGACTGTGTTGAGGAAGCGCTATCACTGTGAGAGATTGCTGACAGACTAAGCTGAGAGTCTCCACTCTGCAGGGAAAGAGCACTGAAAGTCTCATCAGGACGCTCACTACCACCCCTCCCTTTAATTTATATCTCGTAGCCTTGTTTAGTAAAGATCTCCCTTCAGAGATGACAATGACTAAGAATCATTCTGCATGAATTAGGATGGGGCACAAAAAGAATCAGAACATCACTTTACCAAAACACATCTCCGAACTCTCACTTTAAAGATGAGGAACTCTGCCTAATGTGTTATTACTAGTGAAAATCAAAGCCTCCAAGATAAGCATACATCCTAGCACATTAAACGCAGAATACATCTCTCTGAAAATGATTTTTGGATGGAATGCATTTAGCACAGTTTTTTTTCTTGGTCACACGTGTTTTGTTTTTTTTTTTTTGCTTTCTTTCCTTGCTACCATGATGTTCTCTTCACCCCCTACTCACCCAGAGTATCATGTTTTATTCATTTTGCACGCAAAACCTCACACTGAGCTTCTTACAGACAGTGAATAATCTCAGAGCTTTTCTACACAAATTGACTGGCATAGCCAGAGCTGGATTCAACTGCAATGTGGATGGAAGGCTATGAAGCAGCACAGCCAGTTCCTCATCACATGACCCACCCCTCCACTCCAATCTGCCATAAAAAGGAACATCACTGAATATCTCTGGTAAGATGGAAACTGAGCCCTGAAGATACTCCACTGCATGAAGAAGAGATCCATAAGCTGGTGCCAGACAAGGCAGCTCTTGAACGGGTAGTGCGGCTCCACCAACATAATGGTGCACAGGAACAGCTCTCCTTGTTGAAATGAAGATCTAATTGGTGGTTCTGGGACCCAAGCTACTAATCTGCCTGTCACAGCATTTGATGAGCTGTGTAGATTTACAAGCTTACTAGCTGAGTCACCATTAACAAGACACCGCTTTGTGTAGGGTAGACATGACCTGTGCTTCCCTTGCTTCAGTTAACTTTTGTGATAGTACGAAAGATGCATCAGTTGCATCCTAACAGCCCCAAATGAAACATTATCAGACACAGCTGGTGCCCATTCACCAAGCACACAACCTTAAGGACTCCAAATTTCTTTCACCAGACTTACGCTCAGATTACTCCTTGGTTCCAAGACCAATGTTATCTTCACTTCCCCTTCCTGGCTGATGTTGCGCAGGTAGAACAACTGCTCTCCCATCATCTTCTCTCCAATCATCTTGTGCACCGCGTAGAGACGGAAACGGATGGCATGGCTGCTTAAGTCCTCTGGCTCCAGCTTACTAAAGGTAATTTTATCCTTGAACATGGGGATGGGTCCTCTCTGAACACTTGTCTTTCCCCTCTGTTTCTTGCTGGGCATCAGGACTGTGTGCACTTGCCAAGTGTTCACACCACTGCGGTCTTTGTCTGGGATATCCCTGGCCTCCAGGATAGTAACTATCAGCTTTTGATTTGAGGCCTTGTAATTGAAGATGACATCTAAATCACCACATTTACAGATGGGCTCACGAGCACTGCGACGAACCGGTACGCTGTTCATTTCATCATGTTCCTGTGAGGAGAAGGAAGAAATAAAACCTCTACCGGAGTTCAGCTGCCCTTTGTGATCCCAACTCTATTAAAAAAACATTGTTCTCACGTGGGCTTGCAAGTGTAGGCCGTTGCTCTGCAAAATAAGGATTCCACTGTTTCTTGAGAGGCCAATGCTAGTTAATTGCCTGATTTTGTATAATGTATCCCATACAATCTAGTAAGCAACAGCACTTGTGAAACTTTTTGTTACAAATGCTTCAACTGACATTTAAATGTTTTGCAGGAGATTGTTAATTTGGTAAAAATTCTACAGAGGGAAAAACAAACAAAATTACCTTTTTTTTATTTAACTTCATTAATGTCAGTTCTCTGAGGGATTAATAAAAACTTTTTTCATCTTGTTACAAAAACCGACTTAAGCTATTACTTTGAATATATACTGGAATTTCTTTAAAAACTGATTTATTTATATTATTGAAACCAAACAATTCAGTCAAACCTGCTAACTCTTTGGATGTTTTGTTTTGTAGGACACTGGAAAATTTCAGCGCTATGTTCAGTCTGATGGGGGGTGGAAATCACAATGTCAGAATTTCTTGCAGAATGGAAATTCCATCCCTGAATGCTAGCCCAAAAATTCAATATTTTTCACACAGTTAAAGCAATGATAATAGAGAAAAACAGTCTGATCAAACACATATTGATTCCTTTTTCCCTTTGTAAATCTCTCAAGAGAAATATCTGTGCCTTCTGTTTAGTTTGGATACTAATGCATTCAGAATAAAAATGCAAAATATACAATCAAAACATATGCAAACCTATTCACGTACAGTCTTTTACCTACTTTTTAAACAAAAATCGTCTCGATAAAACAAGATAAAAACCATGGGCGCTCACCTTACCTTTTGATGAGTGGGCGTTTGCATTTCTGTTTGAAAGTGCTTTTTATCTCGGAGCAAGAATGTGCTTCATGTGATAAAGGGGTTGCTATAGTGATCAATGATTTGTATTTAAACATGAGTATACACTGTACTAGAGAAAGATTTTCAGTTAATAGCCAGAAGGTGAATTAAGGCCTGTCACTAGCAGTCTGAGTCACCCTCCTCCTCAAACATTTATCTTCTTTTGCATTTCAAGTAACATGTCTTTTCAGCATAAGGATCTTATTGTTTAGAGCATAGATGATGGGTCCTAAGGATTCTGATATAGTTCCCCTAAGAAGTATCTAGGGTGGTCTACATCTCAAACAAGACGTTGGGCAAGCCTAAAAATTTTATCTACCTCCTATCGATCTATTTTTCAATTGTTCATATTCATCGAGCATTAAGCACAAAGCTCCAGCTTTTCACACTTACATGAGTATTTATGGGATCTGTGCATGTGAATACAAAAGTCAGTGTGTGCACATTAGTGATGCAGAACTTCTGTTGTACATCTTGCAGAAGAGTAATATCAGAGAGAGAAGAATCACCTCTATTGGACAGCACACAAAATGAGTTGATTGCCCATAAAAAATGTCTTTCTGTACGAACACTAGGCTTCAAAGACAAAAATGCACGGCAGGCCGTGACCGTGAAGTTATGCAAATATAAGTGACACTGGAGAGCTGTCGAGTTATTTCTGACCGGTTGCTGAAATAATATTTAAGAAGGAAACGTAATGGGACTGCCCTTGATTCATGTTTCCCTCCTCACGTTCATCCCTCCCCACTTTCATCTGTGCATTTGCTATTGAGTAGATAGAATCAAGGCGAATGGTTGTGGAGAATTGCTACTGAAGTGTGGAGAAAACTGCTCACAGCATAACTTTGCTTTCATCTACATGCCTGAGCTGGAGAATGAGAATTCCTGTGCATCATCATAAACCCACAGGTACAAAGGGCCAAGAGGCACTTTTGTGTCCCAAAAGAGCTGAGTGTATCCTCCTCTAGCAGAATGTAGAGCAGCCTGAAGGCCAGGTCTTTGACGCGACAGCCAGAAAGGACCTGGATTTCAGGAAAACTCAAGTTGTACTACTATAGCTATGGATGTATCCACTGCAGAGAAAACTGCATACGTTGGAAGTAGGGAGCAAAAGAGAAATGCTAAACTCCGTGCCAGTGACCCTTCCTTGGGCAACTACCTTTCAGATGCCATGGGTTGGCCCTTTGAGAGAGAACTGTGCTATCTGGGATTCTCTGCTGTACAGATTTCTAGCACATTACACCGACAGATGCTCAATCTTCTTTCTATTGAAATGATCGCCAAAATTCCCATTGTCTTTCTGAGTTCAGCTGGGGCTGTGAACGCTTTGTAAACGTAGTGGCTATACAAACAAACTCGTATCCAAGGGAAGTGTGCGGTTTAGATACTTCCATCTGATTTTATTTCCCTCCCTCTTCCCAGTAATGTTGTTGTTATGTCAAGCCAAGTATCCTGATTGATACTGTATGTCTAACCCAGCAATATCCATTTCACAAGGTAAAATGAGTCCATTTCTGCCAGAGAAACCTGAGAGAGCAGCTAATTATGGACTAGGCTTGAAATGGTACTTGCGGCTCCACTGCAGGGGCATAACATTACCATTTTTGTCTCTGAAGAGAGGTCCTTTGAATGGAGCATAATAGCATGTGGACATTTCTGGTATGTCAGAACACTTAGTTCCCACAATAAAAAGTCTTTCACTAATCTACACAATACCTTTGGATGAGAAGCTCTGCGTACTAGATAAACTGGGACTTGGGGATATCCGCCCCCTTACGCTATAACCAGTTTGCTTTTTTAAAATGCACATACAAGGAGCAAAAAAAAGAGGCATATTCCACAGACGTACAAGAGAAGGACACTCGAGATTTTGCAGCAGACGCACCATGGCAATGGCCATTCAGTGCAGAGAAGGAGAAAGGAGCCTCAGGTAGGTCAACAAATAGCGCGTGTCAGACGCACACAGCAATGAGAGGTGAGGACTGCCACCACTCAGCGTTTCAATGTGTCAGGGAGTACCTTTTGGGACTGGTGTGTACAGTAATCCAAAATGCTATTCAAAATGCCCCTGAGACCTGGCCCATAGGCACTAAGGAGCTGCTTTCCATCTCTTTACTTGGCTTGGGGCAACATACTCTGAGGAAAGCAGCATTTCCATCAAAGCCTTGTTGCTCAGAGTATGGAGGAATTCATCTCTACAGCAGAAGAGCAGTCTCCTGTGACTCAGGAAGATGATGTGACCTTTGTGCTGTTCTTTTAATATATCTGATGCAGGCTGATTTTTTTTTCAGAAATTAAATCTTGTGGTAAAATAATAATGAAATTGAACATATCACACAGAAAGAATATGACAGAAAAGGGTGATGCTAAGTCATCAGACGCTTACGGCATCTAAAAATCTGTAATGATTTCCTGAGGCTTCAGAATGAAGGCACAACACTAACTAATGGAGGGCAGAGGTGCTTGCTTCATCCTCCGACCTTTGTACCTTAAAACAATGCCTAGTGTCAAAGGAGACCAGAGTGATAGCTACTTGGCTAAGTCACAGACAGCCCCCACCAGTTGCCTCCAGCTTTGCAGATGCTTCCTGTTGTCTGAGCCATAGAAACCACTTGGAAAAAGAGGCAGAGATCTGGCCCATTGATCCCACACCACCTCCCTAGATTCACAGCCTGCACATGCAGCCCTGTGCCACTGCAGCGCATCCCAGGATGTTGGCTGTTAATTGATAGCAAATGCTGTCAGGCAGCACATGGCTCCAATTGAGATCAAAGATTGCAGTCAGAAATCAGGGGATAAAACAGCTTCTCTGAATGAGTATCAGTAATAAGAGGTAAAATACAACAAAAAGGGGAAATAGAGGTGTGTGCACTCATGTACACAGGAGTACCATTATCTTGCGCTGTGCTGATCATTCTCTCACTTCATTTCTCCCCCGACATTTTGAGCTTTAGTGTCTCCTTCTCCCCTCCTCCTCCCCCAATATCCTTCAAGAACAGAGCTACTGTGTGCAATAATGAACAATTCACTGTACCTCAGGGCTCCAAGCTGATGAGCTGTCAGTAGCATCATTTCCTTCAAATCCCTGGTTGGTAAATGCTGTCTCCATTTCCAAGCATGCTTCCACAGCTTGCCGGCTAACGTTATCAGCAATGCTGGACTCCATCCTAAGTCCTCTACGCTGCCCAGAACCCCTACTCTCGGTTGCTGTTCTTGAATCAACAGATGCATGGTCATCTTTGCGATATGATAGGTTGTCTTGGTAACTCAGTTGGCTTAGTCCATCCAGATCTAATAATTTTCAGCAAGAAAATCATTTCAGAGGGATTAGAAGGAATTCCTTTTCCCCTTCCTCCCCAAATGTGTTTCTCTCTTTCTTTTCTTCTTTTTACCCTCATCTGCAGTGTACGGCTAGCAGAGAGTTTCTACTTATGAGCGCTCCAACACTGGACTTGTGAAATAACGCATCTTGTATAAACCAACATTTGAATGGAGTGGATATGGCCGTTTCTCACTCTCCACATCCTGAACAGGGAAACTAGCTGCCTTTACTTGAAAAAGTTGTCCACCAAATGCAATTATCAAAGGAGTGTTTGGGATCTTCAAAGCGCCTTGGAGCTACTTTGTGGTCCCAAAGCAATCACTTTCATGAAAGCACAGATTAGAAAAATTACAGAAGAGCAGAGCATATATAGGCCTGATGCACAGAAATCAGCAACTTCCTTTTATCCAGGAGAAGGAGGAGGAAAGGATAGGAGTCCTCTGCAAGCACTTTAGGAAGAACATGAGGGACCTTCCAACTTCTAATGCATCTGATGACAGGTGTTGCTTTAGGTACAGAAGAACTTGAATCTGCTTCCATCACTTTCAAGCAAGCAAGGAGCAGTTACAGTGAAACAAAACAAGTTGTGCTTCCAGAGAGCTGGTGAAAGTAATGAAATCAGAATGCTTTCCTTCATTTGGGGTTTAAAAGTTTACTCTCAAGAAGGACGTTATTGTAAAACAATCAATTTTTAAAATTTGGCTTCCAGTTCAAAACTAAAAAAAAAACCTGGGTTTAATAGAAAACAATCAGTTTGTTAAGCAAACATACTGTTTCTGACTCATACCTGCCCAATAAAAACGATGCAAGGGGAAAGGGTGTTACATTTGGGCACCATTTCACAAATGGCAGAAGTCTCTGCCTCTCTCCCTAGCTGATCTTTCTTTTCAACAGTTTAGCGATTAGGAGAACTATCAGCAGCCTGTCCCCTTCCTCCTCCCAAGACGGTTCTCACCTCCTGGTAAAATGCCTCAAGCACGGGCAGTTCAACAGAAAACTGAGACACCTCATAGCGTTGTAATTCTGGTGCTCTTCTGAGACATGAGAGATGGTCCTTCAAAAAAAGAGGGATCCCAGCTCAGATCTCTCAAATTCTAGGTGAGTGCTCTTCTCGGTTCTAAAACGCAAAAAAATACCTCTTCTCCTCCTCTGCCGCCTTCCATCTGGTAGACCTAGCTCTGAAACTGAGAGACCTCATTCTCTCCCCTCTGCCCTGAGCTGAAACTCTTGAGTGAGGGTAGAAAGTCATTTGATTTTTGCAGTTGCTCCATATTGAGCAACTCTACAGAGTCAGAAAACAGAAATAAGTAAACATCAGAATGCAAGCAAGAAACAAAATAACAGAAAATCCACACATACAAATTTACTGAGACTGAATGGGTACAGGCTCTCCTTAAGGCATTTAATTAGCAAGGCAATGTCTAATACACATTTTAAACAGTGGGTCATCCATCAAAGCACACACCACACAGCAGGCTTTCAGAATAAAAAGCTACTGTAGTAAGAAATTATCCTCACACAATTGTCTTGTGGTTTTGACTCCTGCTGGGATAACATCTAGATCAATAATGGAGGAATTTTCAAAAACTACATTAAAGCCATAAAAGGCAATTCATAATAGGAAAACTCCAGAAATATATTAATAGAGCAAGCCATTTCCCTAAGACTCAGGCATAAAATGAATGTGTTAGGAAAGCAAATATGACATATAGGGAAAGGAACAGAAAAGGTGATTCACCAAAACCATTCAGTGAAACAGTCTGGCTTTTTCTTTAAGTTTAAGGTAGTTTGGTAAGTGATAATCACTTATAAATGTACATATTAGAGGATCATTACAGGTAATAGCTCAACTATACAGACAAGAACAACTATACCTCTCCAGTTACATCCATTCTAACACTACATTCACAAAAAACAGTCAAAACAGAAGTGCTTCACGTAAGGGAAAAGGTCATAGCAGTAAAAAGCCTATAATTTACCTGAGAGAACTTTAAGGAAGAAAACGTCAACTGTCTTATGAATAACTGACATGAATAAACAGCACAGTATCAGGCATATACTGAAACAGTATTATCTAAATATCTGAACTGTAATTAGCCAAGAGTCCCAAAAGAGCAATAGCAGCCAATTCTAGACTTAAGGACACATAGCACCACAGACTAAAAGGGTTTTTTCAGTCCTGTCCCTTAAATTTTTTTTAAGTCACATGTGTATACACAGCAGGCAACGGGAATGTGGGGAATGTAAATCATCAATAAATCAGGAAAACCTGTTTTCGAGACTGAAGAATTGCCATGAAGAAACTATGAATTCTGTAAGATGAAAGGATGAACCTCACTTGCAACATCAGGGAACAGAATTGTCGCAGGTACTAGGATATGGAAGCATTTCTCCAAAGATACGGGGAAAAGTTTCAGCACATCAAATATTGAAAACTAGGTTGGAAAATACTGTGAAGATCCCTCTCACATTGGCAGGTGAGTGGCCTGGTTAACCCAAAGTATCTTTCTTCCTCTTTTCCAGTGATAAACAATTTCTGACTTCTTTAAAGTACTACTATGTGCTAAAGAAACAAATACTGAGAGGCTTCATCAATTCTTATGAGGCATCACCAAAGTTAAAAAATGAAGCCTGGTAGATCTAGCTACATTAACACCGCACAGTTCATTGACTAGCAAGAAACGCTCAGATGAAGAGTTTAATGTGTGCCTGTTCCCTGTGCTGACCAGTGGGATGTTTGCTCTGAGGACTGCAGTGAATCACTGTGCTTTTACAAGAAAGAGAATGTCTTTTCTTTGTGATTTTCCAAAATGAAAGAAATCTGATCCCTGCTTCCAGACTGTACATAAACATAAGTTGAAAGTTCAGAGCTTGTTTAAATACTGTTCAGAGGAGAAAAGGATTTCAGTATGGACATGGGTACTTCTTGACTTGAAATCCTACTAGCTACTAGCAGTGATTTTCAAACTCCTTTTCCTGAAAGTCAGGAACAGCACAAGAGACGGGAGTTAGTGGAACTGAGGCATGTTAGCCCTCATATAGCAATAATTCTCTTGCCTTGCTCTTGCTATAGCTCTAGTTTCAAATCACTCTTCAGCACCCTGGCACCAGGTGCCCACTCTCACACAACCAAGCCAAACACAGGGCAGCTGAGCAGTGTTCCTGCTCCTGTTTATTTTGAGATTAGCCAGCAAAAAGTGCTAAAAAACTTCCCAGAAGAGCCTCTTAGGAGTAGAATCATTATCCAACTACAGTAAATCTAAAAAAAAAAAAAAAAAGGCTTGTAAATTTTAGGGTTAAAGAGGAAAAGGATCTTAAATTTTAAATGACATTATGCAATCAGGCCAAGATTGTTTAATTTACCACATGCTGTGTAATAGCATGAGAAGACTCCATGTTTCCAGAATTAAAATAGGCTCTTTATTAACAGGGTGATTTGCAGATAGGCTGTGGGTAGAGCTGGCATCCTAGCCATTCAGCTCCCCAGAGCATCCTCTAAACACTTCCTTCCTGCGATACGCACTTCTCTTTCCAAGCTCTATTCAGGTTACTACAAAGATTTTTTTCATGGGTGAAAAGTTAAAGCTGAATGAATCTAAAGTGCAGAGTGCCACGACACTGATACCAGAAAGAGAGGATCAAGAAGAATCTTGTGTAAGAGGATGATGTGAGGAGATGATGTGTCAGGGCTGAATGAGAGAGAAGCTATTAAGGGCCCTCTAAGATGCTCAGTTTGCCGTATCCCTAAGTTTGTTGTAGATTTTTTGTTCTATAAAGGAAAAAAAAGTACCAGCTATATGAGTAAAATGTCTGTTAAGAGAGGATAAGTCCATAAGAGCTCAGGAGGAGTCTAAAGTGGGTTTGAAAGTGCCATGATCTCAGTCTTGACTCAGCACTTTCAAAAGTTCCTTCATCCTCTCACCCAGAAGTCCAGAAGGACCTGCTCAGGTGAAACAGTGTTTGATAGGCTCCCAGGGTATACCCATGAACCCATTATACCCATGAACCTTTCCACTTTGCTGATCACTGCGCCAGCTAGAAACTGGAATGAATTCTCACATACATGAAGTTCTCTGACCAGCACCTGGGGGTTAGCAAGACAGGGGGGTGATTTGGGAATTACCCTGACTACACAGCTTTTCATACAAACAGACGTCCCGTATCAGGAGTTAAGGGTGGGTGTAACTATCATGGTACTCCTGGCAATGGTGGCTGTATGGCCCTCAGAGAACCCTTTGGGTTTGAAGGACACCTGACATACCTATGGATATTGCTTTTACAGACATGTTTGTAATGAAGGGTCTAATCTTGAGCCCAATAAGGAATGGCGCAGACAACCAAATGTCTTCAGTGAAAGCAGGCTTCAACTTCTGGTTTCATCTAGTTCCTGAACAGCTATTTAAATAATGTCAATGTTATCTCTGAAAAGAAAAGTAAGAGCAACTCTGCACCATGCTGCAACAGAAGAACAGTTCAACAGAGAGCCATAACTCAAAATGATCACATTAATAAAAGGGTGCATTAAAATCAAACAACTGTATTTCAAAATTAAAACATTTTATGGAACTAAAAACAAAGGGCACTTTCATGATTCTTCCCTCTAATGAATTTCTCCAGGTTTTAGAATGTGTTCAAGCCAACTTTCTAAGTGGCTACATTTTTAAAAGCATTTCATCTTTGTTTGTATAAAAGAGTCATTACATTAGTCTATAGAAGATCATAAAATTCTTCCCTTCTGTGCCATAAATTTTTAGGTTCTGTCATTGCCTGACATTTGGCATATGTGCTGGTAAATGATACAGCATAATTCATTCACTGTTCACCTTGTGTTTATAAAGCTGCTGTAAAAGGAGACATTCAACTTCTGTTAAAAGGCTTGCTAAAGAAATGAATTTTAAGTAATACAGTTCAAAATTATCAGAACCAAGCCCTACAGTCTTTACTGTGGCAAAGTTGCCAACAAAATCCATGAAAATCCCTGTGGTTTAGAAGCCAAAATTTGAAATCAATGTACAGTCAATGGAAAGATCTCCATGGACTTCAGTAGGGCTTAGACCCAGACTCTCCCTCGATAAATATTTTAGAAATTTGCTGCCGGTAATGACTTAGGAAACCAAATTTAGCAAGAGACAAAACAAGATGCAAGACTTGTTCTCCACAATAAAAGAACCCTTTCCAGGTTGAAGGTTACAGAACTTAATGAAGCAAACGTCTTTAATCTTATTTTATGCAAGCAATACCTTCACATTCAGATGCCTCTGTACTGTACTCCTCTTGGCTGGAGAGCAAGCGGCTGAATTTGGGCCTATGTTCCAAGCCCCCTTGTGTTGCTCCTTCAGGTACTCCCGATCGAAAACTTTGTGAGCGTGACACAGAGATCTCAAACTGCTTAATCACCTCATCGTCGCTGTCTGAAGATGTTGTCAATTCTTCGTCCTCCCCATAACTGTTTACTGGGAGAAAAACACAACTCAGGCTTTAGACCGTCTGCAGGTCTTGGCCCAGAAACTAGGTAACATAGCACCCTTCCAGTTCTCAGAGGGACCTTCTGAGGAGAAAAAGGAGAGTAGGTGTTTGGACAGGACTGGAAAATGAAGCTGAGGAGCACCTGCTTCTTCAAACCTCTGGAAGGCCTGTGGATTTTATATTGTACCAGCAACAGCTACATATTATCAAACTTTGCCCAATTCTGCACATCACTTTTTTTAAAGTAGATTTTTAGAGAGTGGAAAAACACAGAATTAGATAAAATATACATAGAGAACCACTTGTAAAATTATTACTGTGTGCAAACACAAAGCAGTAAGTAAAGGACTTTAGAACTTTCTCATACTTCCATTCCCCTTCAGCTCCTGCTACGGTAGAGAAGGAACTTTTTTCTGTACAGAAAAAGCAACAGAGACGTAACCTGCTCTGGGTAATGCCACGAACACATAGTTACAGCACATGGCTAACAGGCACCGCTGCCTCCATCTGCCAGTCAGCAGGGGAACTCAGGAGAACAATGTAAATTTTAACCTTTAAAAGTGAAGATACACACTTGACCACTTCCTGTGAGTGCCCTTCCCCTCCTGCCACCAGTGCGTGCTTCAAATATGAGACCACTGCAACCTCATTAGTGCGTGAATATCCATCAGATGGAGCAAGGAGGACACAAGACATGAGAGAGATACTTGGCCACGCTTTGTCAAGATGAAAACGCAGTGGCATTTTGCTCATCACCCACCCATCGGCATCAAGGAGGCGGAACAGCAGGATGTTTGGATTCACACATGTGCCCAGAGAAAGGAGCAGTGGGGCAAGGGGCAGTCAGTGCGTGTGTGCACATCTGTGTATGTGCAACTCAGCCAGCTGCCCAGTGCAGTCCATTTGCTGCTGGCTCTTGACCATGAAGTATATGGGAATGGTTGCCAAGACTTGCTTTAATAACCCCATGGCAAACCCCAGCAGCTGAACAAATCAACAGCGTAGATGAAGGGGTGGAAGACAGTTTTCTTAGTGACACTAGTTGATTTTGGAGGGAAAGCACCTTTTTCTCCACCCCAAATCTCACTTATACCAATCACTGGCTATGGGTAGGGAAACAGGATCGTGCTTTCACACATCATGTTAGGTCTATTACTAATGTGCAGTATAAACCTAGTGACAACTGAATCTACCTGCTGCCCCAGTGGCTGCCACACAGAGGATGGCACTCGATTCCTTGGGCGGAGGGAACAGAGCAAGGAGGTTGCCAGGACCTAAGGAAATTGTTCCCACCAACAGCCCAGGAGAAGATGACTGCTGTGTAGCCATGCTTATGGACTTGACCCCTCTGGTCTGGTTTGGCACAATTTGACAATGAGCCTGTTGTTCCTTCTAAAAAACTGATCTCAACTGGAGGAAAAAGACAAAGGCTTCTATGCTGGTAGAAAAAGACAAAGGTTTTTAGACATTAGTTTGGAATGGTCACTAACCAGCTATCATAAAAATTGATTATTTTTATGCAACCTACAAAAAAGAAAGTTTAAAATTATTTTAAATAAAAATTATTTCAGGCTATAACACCCCAATGGCCTAACTTGTGCTACAATTTATTCAAATAATCAAAACACATAACACTAAACAGTCCTTTACAGTCAACTCTGTTGTCAATTCACTACCTGCAGCTCATGCAACATCTACAGAATGAATTTAAATGGTCAGCAAATGCTGATAAATTTTATTTATATGTATATATACTCTGGTAATGTAAGATAAAAAATAAGAATTCTTCCAGTTTATACAAAAGTCCACTTTTCACTCAAAGAGCTTACTAAAGATCCCGAGTAAAACATCACCTTTAGTAAAAAAGACATGTCTTTCACCATTTTCTCAAAAAACCTGCAATATTAAGATCCTGCATCCATGAGGCTGTGTATTTAAATAAACACACATTCACATAGTGTAGAAATCTAGTTGTGAAAAGAAATATCGCAAGGGGCCTGTGGATCCAGCTTTTCCGGGGACGCTCCCTGGGGCAACCTGCGCGAAACTCCCTGCAAAACAGATCACAGCCCTTTTTCTGGGGCAGTCAATATGGCAGGCCTATTTCAGAACTGCTAAAAATTCAGACCAAAATTAAGAGTTAGAGGAGCTGTTTGGAAAAATTCCAACCAATTTGCTATCTTCTGGGAAGCAGGGGTTCATCTGGAGCTTTTTTAGCTTTGCAGCCATGCAGAAAGCAGACATTAGAACAACTCTGGAGCTGTACAGCTGCTCCTGACGTGCATCAAGTTGAAGAATGAATTAAAGATCTCCTTGGATAAAAGCATGAGGAAAAAGGACAAGCATTGCAGTTGCTAAGGTAATGCTATACCAAACCCACATGCTCTGTAGCACATGGATGGAGCAGGACATGCAACCTGTACTCCCCAAGCATGAGTTTCCCTTTGAATTTCTGGACATGTTTGAAAACCTCATCACTTTTTTGGACGCTTAACTGAGCAAAACCTCATTAGACTCATTTAAAAGTAAGTGGTGTAGGAGAGAAGATAGACACCAAAACTAGCTTCGTTTGCGACAATACTGCTGGGATTCCTTTGTAAATTAAATGTGGCCACAAATCTAAAATTAGTAATTCAGCTGCAGCTTTTAACTGTGATGGGGTTACTGCTGCTTTGTCATCTCTTTCCACAGTGCTTAGAAATGTTTTTACGGACAAGATTACATTGAACCAAACTACAAGCCAAGTTACATCTCTGTGCCGTCTATTGAATTTTGCTTGGGTGAAGGGGAAGAGCTTTTGATATATTACTGGCCTCTTGACTTTGACTTCAACTTTACAAATCCCCAAAGCAAGACTGCATCACTTGTTATGACATTGGATGCTATTTCCTACTTGCATTTGGAAACACATAGGCTAATTAAACAGTGGCACTGGGGAATCTGTAGCAAATGCTCGATATGTCCGCTGCTGAATCTCTGCCTACGGAGCAGATAGCTCCATGTCAAGTTAATATCTCTGTATTAATAAAACTAACTTTACCCAGAGGAGAGAAAAACATTCACCACTCAAATATACAAGTGTCCTGATTAGAAAAGGACAAGAGGGAAACATTTTCTACATCACCATGGAAACTTAAATAAAGGACCTGTGATTACAATCTAAATTCTGGGAAGATAATGAACACATCTTGAGATCTGCAGATGTTGTGTAGAATATACATATTTCTAGCAACTTCAACTCATTTACTTATAAGCAGCATCTGTTTTACAAATCAACTTCCCACCAATCATAAAGAGGCATTGGGATTTTGGGGGGAGAGGGGGGGAAAAGGGAGGGGAGAAGGGTGACCTCTTTTTTTGGCAAGGTATTTCAAACTACCGCTTTTTATAAGGAAGTTTCAAACACCCAATCAGTTATAAGCTTAGTCTGCAGGCATCCAAATACACTGAGCTAAAATGTGTGAAATAAATAATTCAAGGATTTATTTCAGCATTATTAACTATCAGGAATACATTATTATTTACTCAAAGATTATCCAAAAAAATTATCTAATAAAATATATAGTTTGCGGTGCAAAATACAGATGTATTGCATGCATCCTGTCTGCTATATGTTAAAAAAATGGTCATTTTGGCCCAGCAATGAAAAGTTAGCAAATTCCAAATTTCTGCTTTCCTATATAACTAATTCTGCTTTTGTGCGTCCACTTTCTTCCTAAAGATTTTGATTCTGCTCTCCTAACTTCAGTGAGAGGTTCCTCATCAGTTTCAATGGGGAGCAGGATCAAGCTCTGAAGGAAGCAGAAGCACTATATTAAAAAAAGAAAAAAATAGAAAAATTGTATTTGATCATATAACTGAAGACAATATCAGTACAGCTATGCATAATGCATGTACTTGGAGGCTCCCAAGGTTTCTCCATGCGCTGTTCTTTGCTATTACAGAAGGAGCCGCGTCGGCCTGGCCTGAACGTTTTCGTGCTCAGAATGAGAGGAGAGAAGCAGAGATCCGCAATGGCTTCCAGCTCAGCACAGCCCAGAACTCTGCGCACACCAAAGAGGAGGGCTTTTCTTTGGGAAAACTGGAAAGGTCTGCTATAAAGAATGGATGTGTTAAAGCTTCTCAGAAAGAACGACCATTTTATAAACGGAATATAATGTGACACGTGGAGTTGCTGCTACCAATTCCTATGCAATTACAGCTTTGGTTTGCACAAGGTCTTCAATCTGGAGTCATCTTCTCATACTTGCTATTGATCATCTGAGCCAGGAGTTCAAATGAAAGCACAAAGTAACCCATCTAACTGATTTATGGGTTCAACTAGGGAAGAGTGTGTCCTGTGCCTCTATGCTCTAAGCTGTTTGGAGATACAAAGCAATCACCAAAAAGCCTTCCTTTTATAACAAAGAAACAAAGTCCAGACCATCCACCTAGACCTCAAATGTATTTAATACGTATGGAGAATGGTTTGTGACATAGTAAACCGATTATCTTTCTACATATGTCGTTATGGATAAAGAGATCATACAAAGTGGCTGACTAACCATTGACTAGTCATTTACTAACTAACAGAAGGTGGTCCTCTTTTTGCAACACACTGATCTCTACCTTCTTGTCTGTCCTCACCCTTCACCCCGTCATGAGCCAAACCAGACTGGAAGCTCTCTGGAGGCAAATACACTGGATGTTTGCATAGGAGGATGCAGGCAGAGAGATCACAGCTTGGCAGTTTTCATTTCAGGGGAAATTTCCAACCAAAAGTTGGGGGGAGGGGGGAGAGGACAAACAAAAGAAATCAAAAAGGAATAAGAAACAGGACTGATTGCATTATTCAACTCTGACTATCAAGCACCTCCGCAGCTGAGCACTACAGCGGTCAGATAAATAAAACTCCAATTCTGCAGGCTGCTGTGCAAAGAAATAGGGAACGGCCCACAGAAAACAGCATGAAAATCAACATCTTTTCCTGTTGCTTTTTTTCCTACTT